CATACGAAATGACCATATCTTTAAAAAAAGGTAAAGATATATCATATGTTGGCCAATCACTCAGAGATATATTTCAATCTCTTATATATGAGAAAGATAGATGTTATACTTCTGTCGCAGCTCTATAGATTTCTCTCAGTTTATGTTTATAATGTATTAATATTACTTATAATATTATTAATTAATTATTCTCATTATTTCATTGTCATTGATAAATTTTGTGCGCCGTTCTAATTTATCTCGCCGAGGTAATTTATCTCGGAATATATATGCGGTTTATGATTCTCGCGACGGCCTATATACCCGGGTGCATGGTGCAGAATAGCGCATGAATGTGGCTTATGTTTTGTTTCCGAAACCAGAATATTAGTGCTGCGTATAAGCAGGAATGGGTCGAGGTCAATTGATGCTAGGACGCGAACGGAAAAGGCGCTTAAAAAGGCAGCCGCGCTAACTAGAAGAAGAAACGGGAAAGCAGGGAGGGCCTGGTGAGAGAATGCAAGTCTCACCTGTACTTTCGCCACCACGTAGCTTCTGCTCGGGCCTCTCAACTCTCTCCTCACTCGGCTGAGGTGGTCTCTCTGTCCTTTTCGGAGAGTATGGGTTGTACGACGAAGGCCACACGGTGGTCAGCCTTTTTGCTGGCGGTGGCGTGCTCGGTCGTCCTGAAAATAGATTAGGACCTTTCTCATCTAACCCAGGCACTCTCCTGTTTGCTTCCTTCTTTTTTTATACCCGTCAATAATTCAGTCTGGTACGTCACCTCTCTTTCTTTTTTCCCCCGTGCTTCCCGTACTTTCCTGTTGATTTCATTTTATCGCGTATGTAAAATATTATGCGCACTATTCTACACCATACAAGGCCGCAGCAGCAAAATTACGAGAAATGATGGAAATGATGGAAATTTAATCGATTCGGTAATTATATATTACGAGTGTGGACACTTATAGTATTACATAATAAATACATAAATAGATCAGTATCTACTTTAAACGAATGAAGCTTATAAAAATCCTTCTTTTTTGTATCTACTAATACAAGATGTTCAATGTTCATGTCCTTAAATACCATTTGTATTTTTAAATGTATTAAATCATTTAAAAATATATACTTATATAATATTAAAAATAAAAGTAAAAAATTTAAGAAGGAAAGCATATAAATAGAAACAATCGAACTATTATGTAGTCTAACAATTATGTTAATATTAATTAAAATTCGCATTTAAAATCTAAAACAACTAAACAATTAACAACTATGATAATATTTACTTAAATTCTAATTAATGACTTCTTTTATACATTGAGGAAAAAAATTATCATTTGACTAAACTAATATAGTTCGTCTTTATCTCTTACGATGAAAAACCTTTAAATCAAACATATTATATTTGACTTTAAATACATATATTCTTCAACGAAGAAAATAAAGACAACTTAGTCAAATGAACAATTTTTTTCTTAACTTAATAAGATAAAGGAATAAAAAGATTGAGAACTCCTTTCTGTATTCCTGATTGCCTCGCGCTTTATGTTTGCTATATACTATTTTTTCACTGCTCCGTAGCTATGACACTTCTTAACAAGCGAAATTTAATCTATAATGGATGGGAAGAAAACATACGCGCGCGAGCACGTGGTGGGCACAAGTTTGATGAATTCTATGAGCTTCTTTGAAAACGAGCCAACTTCTAATACTTGTTGCATTCGATGCCGATGTTCCATTGAATAAAATATCTTCTCACAAGAAAATCTTCGCAGCAAAAAAAAAAGATCGTAAAAAGTGCTTGCAATCCTCTATAAAGACTTTACTTCGAATTTTAATTGCTTTTAACATGTAATTCTATTTAAAATTCTAAATATTAGATATCTAAGATTTTTAAAATTAATTTATAATACTTTTTTAACATTTTACTTTTCAATTTATAATAATTTTTTAATATTGATGATTATGATAATTATCTCTTTGAACTGCTACTTCTTAAGTAACTTTTAAAAAATTACAAAGATTGCTTCATCTTCACTTTGTAAAGTAAAGCAAAATCCACTGGAAAAATTATCTAATAAAAAATATAACATTGATATTTTCAAATTGCAATCTTAAATATCTACATAATATTGTTAAAATGATATTTATTTAACAAGTATCAAATAATTGCGATGCAATATTATGAATTAAGACAGAAAGTAGACGGCTGTTATTTATTTCAGTTGTAATTACTTTACTAAGTAATTCCCTCGACAATATAATCACATAATGTTTAACAAACGCTTCTTCCCATAAGACAATGCGTCTGCCACGTCTAATTCGATTGTATTGTGTACAATATAAGATTACACTTAACGCGCCAGCGTCTTATCTTTGTAAATATGAAAGTGTATCCTGGGAGAGTTGCAGCCTTTGCAAGCAGTAGATTGAAACTTTACTTACACGATAATTCTGTACAATGCGTATCAACTCAGGGTGTAATTCAAGTTGATATTCGCCACGGGGCCTGTATACTTCTACTGCACGGAGACTCATTCTTGGTAGCGAGATGCTTTGACGCTTATTTCGTTCCTCATAATCGTGAAGATTATTCAAACTACTATCGTTCACGGTCCCGCGTGCGTCGTTTGTTGATGCGATCTCGAAAACTATGTCCCGAAGTAATTCAAAGTGTATGAATTATACTGATTCCGATTATTTGAAAAAAGAAAAAAATATGAGAATGCTTATTTTATTTTCAAGTTTTGTCTCATATTGTTACAGAAGAGCCAATTTTATTCGTTTTTCTAAAGTAATAAATAATATAAAACCAGAGATTTTCAAAGTATGGGTCGCGCGAATTGAGAAAAAATTTTTTAAATATTAAATTACATTTTTTCTTACTCGGCGCAGATAAACTTGCATTTACGCGCATCTTTTTACGATTTTGTGTATGTAAAGTTTTCATGTCGCTGTCGTTTTCGTTTTAATGTCGATATCAAATTATCATCAGCAGAAATAGAAAACAAAAGCATTTCTAACATATACCTATTACAATTAGAAAGTAGAAGCAGCGTAGATTTATATCTACGAATTATTTATTATGAATTATTTATTGATTTCACGTTTTTGCATAATTATTAAAGCTAAGATAGGTCAAGAATATTTGTCGTTTTTAAAAAGTGGATCTACATGCGTTTATAGGAAATTCTAACATAGATCGTCAAATGAAAATTTTACTTAGTAAAGTTAAAAAGTATCAAATAATTGAGTATTTTTGGTATTTGTTCTACATCAAAAATCCAATATTTTTCAAAAATACCATATTTGATTATATAATGATATGAAACTTTTCAGAATATATCTGAAAAAATTTAGGAGATGTATAAAATTATTTAAACGATTTTTATTCGATTTTATGTTTGTTATAGTATTGTTCTGAAAAAGTTTGTAACTGAAAATATTAAAATTTATACTTCTCACATAAAAATTTATACTAAAACTATAAATATATTATAATATTTATATGTGAATCAGTTGTATAAATTATATCATGTTTTTATATAATAGAACATTTTTATTCATTGTAATAAATGTAATGTAAATTTTATTTTTATAATACTTCCCTTCAAAAACTATGACAATGTGTAAATACTTAAAATAATCGAGATTCACAAAATTTTATTACAATACAGAAATGATACAGATTCATTCAGTAAATAAATAAAGTTTATTTATCTATTTATATTCACAGAATAAGTAATCCCTACATCGCAATGAGACTTTGCATCTTAAATACTTAAAGTACTTATACAAAAAATTTTAATTTTTTGCTATTATTTTTTAAGTCAAAGTAATATAACAATAAAAAAATTACAAAAACTTTAATAAATGTATTATTAATGTATCATTGAATAAAAATATAACATTATTCATATAATTTCTTCATATGTGCATAGTTTTAAATATTCACATTTATATGAGAAGTTTTCATAAATATTAACACATTTTCCACTTTAAACTTTTTGTAAGGATTATATGATACATTCTTAATTAATTCTCTTAAATTCTGACTATTCTTGAGTTGCTTTCATCCGACTAAATTTTGCATTCTACTGCTCGGCGGTTAGGCTGATAATGTACCTTCCATGCACATTCCTATCTCACCTTCTCCGAGAGCTCTCTTCTCTTATCTCTCTCTTTCTTTCCTCGTTAAATTCTACAGTCTTTCTGGTTTGCAAACAAGCGATTCTTTAACCCACCGAGCCTCTAACTTGAGCACTAAAAAGTTTTCGTTTTAAATAAAAGTTTAAATACGCCCCGGACAAACTTCGCCTCGCACCTTCTTCGTGACCTCGTAAGAATATGGCAGCTTCTGGGTCACCTGCCTCGAAAACACGTGGGTGCATCACATTACATTTATGCGTAAGCGATACCTATGAATATGTACACCCATTAACAATCTCTTTTTTGTCGGCAAAGTAATCACAACGGGGCTCGTATTTCATCCGGCTTAGCATCCTTTTGTTATCCTTTCGTGCGTCGCGGGCTTGTTTAAGAAGTTTTGAAATAACTTGTTGAAAATTTAAGAGTCTCTCGCGACACCTCTTCCAAAGTGCCGCGGCAAGCGTCAAGAAATATTTGTTTCGTGAAGGCAGAAAAGAAAGGCGAGAAGAAAGGGATAAGCAAAAAAAGACAAAGACAGGAAAACAGATTCGCGAATATAGTTGAGAAAAGAAAATAGCGAGATATATATATTGTATTATTAATAGTTTTGATCTTCAATTTATCAAAGTCGCAATTTTATATTTTCCTATATGTTTTCGAGAAATAACATCACTTTCGAAATATTCACATTTTTTTTATTAAAGAATCCATTAAAAAACGTATCTTGTGTAAAACATAATTGATAGATGCTTTAAAGTTCTTAGAAAAATATTCTTCTCCTTTAGATTCTATCTATTTCAAAAGTTTACATCAGAACAACAAAAAGTCTAAAGCTTCAATTAAAGCTTTCACTTTGTAATTTCGTTCGACAGAGTTTGGTTTGTAATTTTAAAGAGTAAATTAATTCTGATAAACGAAGAAGTTTTCCATACCTTTTTAATCAATATAAGAAGAAGAAAAAGAAATATTTGATATAAAATCTTAGCAAATAATTTCATTTTCTTCCATTATATTTATAAATATATATCTAAATAAGTATCGAACATGTCAATATATAAAACAAATTTTATTCCGAAAAGATTTCTGTTTAAGAACTTTATAAAAAATAATTCTTTCATTTATCAAAACATAAAATTCTCTAAAATATTATAATTACATTAACATTAATTGAGAAATTGTATAATTTCATAAAATTTCAAACATATTTAAAATATATCACAATATGTATAATTTATAAATTTACTATGTTCATATTTTCTTTAATGATAAGCATTATTTCAAGTAAAAATATTTACATGTGATATTACACAGAAAAAGATGATATTAGTGATATTGATTCTCTTTTTTTTTTTAACATATGTTATCAATAATGCAATAATGAAAAAGTAGATTTTTCCTTTGTAATGTTTTTTCTTTTTAATGATAAGCATTATTTTAAATAAAAATACTTACATATGACATTTACACATAAAAAAAATAATAGGTAATTATTTAGACTAGGAGAGTTCTAATGACCGTAGCCTTGACGTAC